AGTAAAGAGAGGCCGAGAGAGCAGAGAAATGAGATTTGCTCGATATCTAATCCCCTTCCATTAATCCATCCACATCAGCCATTTCAGATTAAATTCCCCGACCTCTTTATCATCCAAATCGATCAGCCTCCCCTTCAGGCCCCATTCCCCAGACCGACGGCGCTACCAGGGGCAAATTCCCCAACAATACTGTGTCCAATTTCAGGATAAAAAGATGTATTCTAGTTGACCAAGTCTCTATTTTCTTCATATCAGCTGATATTAAATAGCTTACCTTCCATTCTGTCCAATTTTCCGTTCCTAGTTACATATCCTTCCCAGGCTACATTTTTATTCCATACATACAACATTTTATAAATTATTATTAAGGCAGCAATGTCAGTATACTACAATCAGTGTCATTCTTGCACATTTTCATATACATTTATGGGTATACCTAAGTTTCTCACCGAAACCATGGATCTTCTGTTTATTACTGTCATATTTACGAGATTCAGCATAAAACTACCTCAGTTTATGTCATCATGCTTGGAAAATGCCATGAAATGCTGACCGACCCTGTATACACATCCTCCTCCACAGCACACACTGAAAGGCCCTAGATCTCCCTTTGATTATATATAGAAGTGAAATATACAAACCACAGAACTAAATCATAAGAGAAAAAATAAAGATACAGACTCCTAAAACTCAATGATAATCTACATCTCCCTCTCTAATTCTCTTCTTTCCCGATCTCATTCATTTCTCTATCTATCTCTAATTATTACTTTTCTTCTTCTTTTCTCTCCCTCTCCCTTTCTTTATTCCATTTCCGACTGTCTCCTAAATCGTCCATGTAATTCTCCCTTTATTTCTCTCTTATCTTTTGTTTCTTTATGCACATAAAAACGTAAGCAAAACAGATTCACGCCTACATCTAAGACTATGCGAACACCACCCACATAAAAAAAAGAAAGAAAAAAAGAAAAAAGAAAAAAATTAAAATTCGCATTTAAAAAAAAAGGAAAACGAGAAACACTCACAAAGCCTCTTCATAAATCGCATAAATCATTACTACAAACAACACGCACCTCAGAACTAGCCTTTCGCGCACTAACCTCTCCCGAAACGACGCCAGAGTGAGGTGGGACTACGTGAACATCCACCGCGGCAACGGGCTGCCCGGCTTCGAGAGGTTCTTCAGCCAGGGAGCCGCCGCCGAATACGTCAACCCTGCCTTCCCCACCAACTCCTTCCCCAACTGGCACACGATCGTCACTGGTGAGGCACTGGTGGGGGCGTTCTTTCTTTCTTCTGTGTGTGTGTCTATGTGTGTTGTGTTGTATGTATGTATATATATATATTATATATATATAATATATAATATATATATATATATATATATATATATATGTATGTATGTATGTATGTATATATATATATATAATATATATATATATGTGTGTGTGTGTGTGTGTGTGTGTGGTGTGTGTGGTGTGTGTGTGTGTGTGTGTGTGTGTGTGTGTGTATGTGTGTGTGTGTATGTGTGTATATATATTTATGTAAATACATATATCACATATATATATATACATACATACGTATATATATATATATATATATATATATATATATATATATTATATATATATATCATATATTACACACATATGTTTGAGTTTGTGTTTGTGTGTATATAAAACAGCCAACAGCCCCCCTTCGTCAGGCAGCGCTTCAGTTCCTCGGACGCTGACATCTGCTCTGCCCGCAGGTCTTTACCCCGAGAGCCACGGGATCATCGGGAACTACATCTACGACCGGGAGGCGTCGAAGGTCTTCTCCATAGACGACCTCGAGGGCGCGAAGGACCCTGCCTGGTGGAGCGACGCCGAGCCCTTCTGGATCACGGCGACGAAGGGCGGCCTCCAGAGCGCCCTCTTCCTCTGGTCCAGGTGGCGCTTCGGGCTCGGCCTTTCTTCGTGTTTTTCACCTTTTTTATTATCTTTTTTACTTCTTTTCTAATTTCCTCTTTAATAAACTACCTTTCTTGTACAGCCAATTCATTTTTCCGTTTTTTTTCTTCTTTTACATTTTATCTTTAAACGCTACTAACCTTGTAACTATGTATTTTTTCCTCTTTAACTTTATTATACCTTTTATTTTGATCTAATTATTAATTTAGTTCCAATCTTTGTAACGCATCCATTCAATACTCCATGGGGATACCCAATGGATAGTTTTTTAACCCTTCTATCTGTCTTTTATGTAAAATGTGAATTAATCTCATTTCTCTCTATTATATAGATCTTTCTACACCTATGTTTGAGCAATATTGTTTTTCTCTTCTTATTCATCAGTCAAAACCAATTGAGCATTATTGTTTTCTCTGCTTTTCTTATTCCTTAGTCAAAACCAAAATACAATTTCTTTATTTTTTCGATCCATATACTATTCGAAGAGCACCACGATCAGTCCATCCCTTGCCCAACAGATGCGACGTCCCTTGGGATGGCGGCGTCCTACCACGGCACTGCGACCCCTTCAGGTTTGCTGCTCCCAACACAGACAACATGGTTCAGAACTTCCGCCAGGCAGTGGACATGATCCAGAACCAAGGATATTCTCTCGCCATGGTCAGTCCCTCGTCTCTCGTGGCCTCTCCTGCGACGATGAATGAAGACGAAAACGGAATTTCACCGTCGAAAGAAAAAGAATGAAACGCCCTGTTGTAATGTAGACTTCTCCACAGGTCTACGACGGCATAATAGACACCCAGGGCCACTACTTCGGTCCCGCGTCGTCGGAGGTGGCAGCGGCGGTCAGGGACACCGACGCCGCTCTGCAGCAACTCTGGAAGGACCTCTCGGATCGGGACATGATAGACAACGTTAGCATGTGGATATTCTTAGCTAGTTTCTGCAATTTGGCCGCCTAATACTTTTATGCACTTATGCATATGATTTATGCACTTTGGCCCTCTAATACTTTTTACGTTTTCTTTATTTTGGTTCATTTTATTTTATCGTTATTGCCCTTGTTTTCTTATCATTGCTTTTTCTTCTAATCAGTATTGTTATCAATAGCAAGTAATATAATAATAATTATTATTACCATTATATCATCATGATTACCATATTCCAGGTTAACGTGGTTTAGTCAGCGACCACGGGATGGCTTGGACGGGCAGGGAAGGTGCGGGGAGCTGGACGTGGTTCCCTGCCTGGAGGAGTCGCAGGTGGAGAAGGTCGTCGAGTATGGTGGCTACATCAACGTCCCAACCAAGAGCTGGCTATGCGATGGAGTAATATGTTGTTGTTGTTGTTGTTTGTTTTGGGGAGGGTTATTTCTGTGTGATGATAATTGTAACAATGCCTGAGGATTCATTTATTGGCATTGTTATTTACGTGTGCGTGCGTGTGCGCGTGTGCGTGTGCGCCCCCGCTCTCTCTCTCTCATTCCCAGTCAGAAAAGCCAAATTCCCAAATTTTAGTTCAATCGGACGAGGCTTTTTGAGATGCAATTTTCTTTCACTTTTTCGCGAAGGGCCTGGGTGCCAAATTTCAAAGTCCTATAATTCTGTAATTAATGGTCCGATTTTTAAAAACAAGGTATATTTGTAAAGGGGAAATCACGGGGAATACTAATATGACATTCAATTAAGTTTTTGAGTGATTTTAGGTTCCATAACCTTTTGACGAATATTTTGACTGTTATATCGACAATTTCGGACAATTGACTGCGATAATTTTCGATGGAAATTGTAGCCCAACATGTTCCTCACAACAGTATTATTAATTAGAAATAAGAATACCCATCACTAAAATCATCATATCCTGTTCATTCTATGTACATTAAGCCCATTCCACATACCGGCAATATCTTATCAGGTAAAAGTGACTGTTGGTCCAAGTTTGCACTATTATATATGTATATGCATGTATATGTAGTTATTGTGATTGCCATCAATAATATTATAATAGATATTAGTAATAACACTATCGTTAGTATACAGTTGGTAGTATTTATCAGGAAACTACTGCGTAAACTAGGTATCCATCATATGAAATATATTTCATCACAAACACTGAAAATTGTCACAATAAATGCTTCAGCTGTTTCCCCTGAACACGCGCCATCCACACGCAGCTGGAGTGGATATCTGGTGTTCGGGCTGTTGTCGCTCGCGTGTGGGAGGCGGCAGCGCTGACTGACGAAACATTTCAGGCAAATTTCTGTTTTGGTGTATGACTACACACACACACACATATATATACATGTGTGTATATATATATAGATAGATAGATAGATAGATAGATAGATAGATAGATAGATAGATAGATAGATAGATAGATAGATAGATAGATAGATATAGATAGATAGATAGATAGATATTCGCACACACATACACATAGATTGATTGATTGATAGGCTAAACATTTAAGGTGAAATCTGATAGTTAAAATCCACATTGACACACAAGCACAGGGGAGTTGTGGCTTCCACAGTAGAAGCGTATTGCAGCTCCCAACCAAGGTGCCTTTGGGTCCTTCATTTCAGAGAATTCCATGCTGTCTGTTCTCAAATGGGGTATTCCAATTCCGCTTTCACATAAGCCGATTTGTCCGTATCGATTGCAAGCTGCATTGTGGGAGTGAGAGTAATCTGTTAGGATCGTGGAATAGAAATATATAATTATTTCTATTTGGAATAAGACCATGCATAGCCGTTTTTTTTTTTTTTTTTTTTCAAATACAGTGTCAATAGTTTTAGTGAACAGTGTTTTGCATCCTAACAACATTGTGCGCCATTGGTGTCTTCGACCAGCAGCTTGAAGGAAAAAAAAAACACGATTTGCACTTTTGAAATTACCTTTTCGTTTTAATCACGTATACCTTGAAATCGTATCCTTTTTTTATCGCTGAGCAGGTGATGGAGAGCTTGCGCAGGTGTCCGACCGTGGGCGAAAATGTGAACGTGTTCCTGAAGAAGGATGTGCCCGAGCCTCTCCACTACAAGGCACATCGCCTCATACTGGAGATTGTCGTCATTGCGAAGGAGGGTAAGCGAGGACCAAAGTACCATATGATGTAAATGAAGATCCTAATGTAATGTATCGCCCGTATTCATACTCAGTGCGTTTCGGTTAAGTGTCAAACCTGACTATCGGAATGTCGAACGTTATTTACAACGGTCGCTTTCACCGTTACTCTCAAGACCTTTAATCATCGGAAAGGCTCAGGGTTACCAACATGAACAATTCTCTTTTCCATTATGATCAAATCAGCTAGGATTGCACATTCCTTATTTTCACACTCGTGATGACTCTCTTGCATTTGCTAGGCTAACCTTGATCTAATTTATTATGGATTTACTTCTTTGGAAAGTTTGGAGGGATGTCGAAGTTTCACCACCAGCGGCTATAAACTTAAGATTGCCGTGAATATAAATACATAGATTAAAATTATATATGTATATATATATATATATATATATATATTATAATATATATATAATCTATGTATTTATATATACATATACACATTGCATAGGTCTACGTTCTTACACAGGCCTACATATACACGTGTATATATAAATATGAGTATATGTATTATACATACATACATATATGTGTGTATGTGTTTGTTTGTGTGTTGTGTGTGTGTGTGTGGTGTGTGTGTGTGTGTGTGTGTGTGTGTGTGTGTGTGTGTGTGTGTGTGTGTGTGCGTGTGTGTGTGGACATGCATATAGGCTGATGTGAGCAAAATAAATGCTCATGATTATATATGATTATATATGTGTTGGAATGAGAATCTTTAGTACATGTTGATCACTGTAATTTCTGAAACCAGACTTCCCGAATAATGTAATATTAGGGAAAGATAGCCAGGAGCTTTATAAATACCAAGTTGCTAGTAACACCACCGAAAGTCTGTGAATTGGAGCCTGATACCCTTAAATCGGCTAATTTTCTAAAGGATTAATCATAGAACTGCTGGGTCAGGAATAATGCGCTGATAAAGTGTGCTATAAAAACAATAATCACTAAGGTAGACATGAATATTTTCAAATAAAGAGCTGTATATTGTAGATCCCATTCTTAGGTTGTATCTTTGCTTATTTTAGTCACTGGTAATGATTATGAATACGAATGCAAAAATAAACCATTTTGAAATCTAATTCGAAGTAATCTCGTATCCCCCTTTGCCAGGGTATATGATACGCCCGCCCCAGACCGCCTACTCAGTGCCCGAGAGCGCGGGCTCCTACGAGGGAAACCACGGCCTCGACAACACGAATGGACGCAACCCCGACATGCGCGCTGTTCTCTATGCCGTCGGGCCATGTGAGGAAAACCATGAATTTGCTCATATTTCTTGCTTACTTTCTTTATTGGTTCCTTCCGTGTGCATATTTCATCATGGGGAATCTTGCTTTATTACATGCATGGATCAAAATCGTTTACGAAATACTGAAACAAAAGGGACAGACGGTTGAACACAAAAACCTCCACAGACTTTGCTCCGGGAGTCCGAGCCGGGGTGGTGGAGCAGGTCGACGTGTACAACCTCCTGTGCCGAAGTGTCCAGCTCCAGTGCCACGCCAACAACGGCACCTTGGCCCACGTGGAGGCGTTCTTCCGACCCGGAGTCCCCCTCCAGAGTAGTGCTATGTCGAGGGGCGGGATACCTCTGGCCGCTCTGATGGCCATCGTGTCCGCGCTGCTCTTGCTTTGATCGGGGTCTGCCATTTTCCGTGGCATCAGCACAGGACGCACTTCTCTCTTTTTCCAAGATTTTAGAACATGATTTTACTTCTTTAGTCACTTTTAAGATACTTTATCTCTTATTTAGGCACCTTTACAACTTGATTTTCTCTTTTGTCACATTTACGACAATTTCCTCTTCTTTTGTCACATTTACGACAATTTTCTCTTCTTTTGTCACATTTACGACAATTTTCTCTTCTTTTGTCACATTTACGACAATTTTCTCTTCTCTAGACCCTCTTTCTCCACATGCTTACCTTGATCCCAATGCTCTGCCACTCAGCCAAGCGAATGAGTTTCAGATTTCTTTCTAAGACATGTACAAAGGAAAGTGAACAAGAAGATCCGTAAATCACACATCTGCACTGCTTTGGGCTTTGTGTCTATGAAGGTAAAGTATGTATGTAAAGAAGGTAAAGAAGGTATGTAAAGTGGACTTACTTTGGAATCTATTTAGTCGTAAACCTGAGGGATCTAGCTGACACCTGCTGTTATTAACTAGGGTAACGATACTGTCCCGTTACGCTATGTCAGTTGAAAATATATGTTTAAGAATTAAAGAAATAATTCAAAAATATCTATCAAAACCCTTCTTTGTACTATGATATTTTCACAGTTTTGTTGAGCAATGTAAAAATGCTAGCAACATTTAGTACTCCAGGCGGTCACACATTGAAGCAGTCATTCAGCTGACCGGGTATGAACTGCTTTCGTCTTGGTGCGAAAGGAGGGATATATATATATATATATAT